AGGATTTGAGATAAAGTGCTCTTTCATCTAAACTATAAAAATTATGGGGTCAGTTTGACTTCATTTTTTTTTAAAACCCAACTTTTAAACGTCATTCCGAAGCAGGCAACGGGATTTCAATTCCGATGACCGACAACTTCTTACGGGCAAACCCCACACCAAAAAAATAGTGCCGATAAAGGGTTTGAGATGGAGAAAAATAAAAGTGATCACATTGTATTCTTAACAAATTTGCTTCATGAATCATTCTACTGGTAGTTTATATTGATGACATTATTACTATTGGAAACAATGCACAGAGATTCTTATCATTGAAATAATTTCTTCAAAATCAGTTCAACACTACAAATTTGGGTTCTTTAAAGTACTTACTTCTTGAGGGTTGAGGTATCAAGGAGCAAGAAGGGTATCTTTTCATCTAAACAAAAGTATGTGTTAGATATGTTAGAAGAAACTAGAAAATTATCCGATGCATCCTAATCAGCAACTTACTAAAGGTCGGGAACTTTTTAATGATCCTAAATGGTATACGAAGTGAGTGGGAAAATTAAACTGCCTCCCAGTAACTCGTCCTGATATTGCTTATTCAGTTACCATTTTAAGTCAGCTTATGTCTTCCCCTATAGTCCATCATTGATCAGCTTTGGAATAAATAATATGTTACCTCAAGGGAACTACTGAACAAAGAAATTTTATGAGCATAGAAATATTGAATATTTCTTTGATGCAGACTAGGCAGGTTCCAAGATCTATCAAATATTCATTACTTGATATTGCGTTTTTATCCTTAGCTACACCTCCAAAATCCTTGATGGGTAAGAGAACCAAGTGTTTTCCCTCTCTAATGAATGCGTCAGTGTTCTTTAACCCGCTGTGTTATTTCTTGCGATTGAACCGTTACGGTCTCCCCAACAGGATGTAACATACATCCATGGGCACCACCTTGCACCACATTTTGTTTTGTAGTTGGTCACTAATAGAAAACTCTACCAGGCACTGCTAATCCAATCATATTTGTTTCTTTCTTCAACCACATCAGAGAATAAGAGTGGGAGTGTTCCTGTGTAGTCAAATCCAACTTTTTTACCATGAAAGCAGA